GAGGGAAGATAGGGTTAGCGTGACTTAAGTCTGCAGAAGGGCGTCTGCAGGGATGATTATAAGGTTGGGAATTGGGATCTAGGTTGGACAAGCCAGAGAGTGAAGCCTGTGAACCTCTCCCTGGATGCTGGAAAAGCAGTAGGGTCAGGCACTGGCAGGTCAAGGTCAAAGTTCTCAGTGAGGTCAGAGAACTGTTACTTTGGGGGGGGGGCATTAGAATATTAGCAGAAATGTTAGGATATGGTGATCAGGAAGTGGGATATTTGAAATGAAACATTTAAAGTATGTTGCCCGTTGCATGTGTTTAAGGTGGAAGAGGTCAAGTGGAACATGGGCCACAGAGATTGCTCACCAGGAGAGGCCAGGCTGGTGAGGGCTCATCCACACAGATGTCGGGTCACCGAGGAGGCTGGCAGGAGCCTGGAGAGGGTCAGCCGTCTGCCTCATAAGCCTCCGTTCCCTGATCTACAAGACAGACATGGAAACTGCCCTCCCCGGTGTGATGATCTTGGGTGTGGGAAGGGTTTGGTTTCCCATCTTGTCTCTACCCGTCCCCTTCTGCCTCTCCCTCTGGATGGCCAGCCCTTCCGAAGCTGCAGGCCAATAACGAAGGCACCTACACAGCCTTCTCCCTCGGGGAGGCACAGCTGCCTCGGAGGACACCTGCTGCAGGGACCTCGCTCTAAACTGGGTCCACAGTGACACCGTGAACGTGGCTCTCCAGGAGGGGCTGATATGGGAGCAACAAAAGCCACTCGTCTCTTGGTGCTTCCGGCTTCCTAACCTTTGGTATCTACCAAAGAATGGGAAGCTTATGACCCATGGCATTTGTAACGATTTCAGGTTCACAAACATCATATAAATATGATGTAGGAAAAACGTTATTAGGGTTCGAAGCCCACGGCCAAGAAAGAATTCTTGAGACATCTTTGGTGCAAAAAGCTGGTTTTATTAAAGCCCGGGGACCGGACCTGTGGGCAGAAGGAGCTGCACCGGGGTCATGAGGAGGGGCCCGTTATATACTTTCAAGTTGGGAGGGGGTTAGGGATGGTGTAAGTCTCTGAGGTATTTTGGAAGCAAGGTTTCCAGGACCTTGAGGGCGCTAGCTATTGTTGAGAAAAAGTCATTTATTACCGTCTAATAAAACCTGAGTCATGAGACCCTTCAGATGTGTATCGACGGATCACGTGCTTGGGGGATGATTGCCAACATGCATCTTGGGGGGTAGAGATAAAGGAAGTTGCCAAAGGAATTTTTGTATGTTAAAGTAGATTTACAGGATCCTGGGGGGTTGAGCTAAGATTGCCTCTTGCCCTTAGCAAAGTATTAACATTGAGGCAGCTGAGTTTCTAGAGGAATACCACTCTGTTTCAAGGACTTGTCAGTGGGCTGTAAGTAGTAAGGAAATTTAATAATTTTTCTTTTACCTTTGTTTCCCACATCAAGTATGTTGCATCACATCATTGTTCTTCCAAGCCAGACAAAGAAAAGGTCTTAGGTTGGTGCTATTTTGTCGTGAATGCCTCTCTCACACTTGCTAAGCTCCGTTTTACATCACAGAGGAGGCCTTAAGGTCAGTGCCCTCAGTAGATAAGAGTATTTAGTCAGAGTTGAGTGAAATCATGTTGCCTTCATAGTATTTTTATGATTTCTTCTTATTTCTGTAATTGATACTCATTTTCTGTAGTCACCAACTTCACCAACAAGAAGTATTTTATAGCATTAAGTCAGATCATGTCAATCCACTGTTCAAAATCCTCCCGTGGCTTCCCAGTGCATTTAGAAAAAATGGGGGCGCCTGGCTGGCTCAGTCAGCAGAGCATGAGACTCTTGATCTTGGCGTTGTGAATTTGAGCTCCACATTAGGTGGAGAGATTACTTAAAAATAAAATCAAAAGAAGAAAGAAAGAAAAGAAAAAAAGGAAAGAGAAAGAAGAAAAGAAAGAAAGAAAGAAAGAAAGAAAGAAAGAAAGGCAGGAAGGCAGGAAGGCAGGAAGGCAGGAAGGCAGGAAGGAAGGAAGGAAGGAAGGAAGGAAGGAAGGAAGAAAGAAAGAGAAAGAAAGAGGAAGGAAGGAAGGGTCCGAAATGCTTTCTATGGTCGGGAAGGTCTTCATGATCCAACCCCTGCTGACCTCTTCCTCCTCCCCTACCATTGCTCTACCCTTCACTTACTCCTTGAGGTCCCTCCAATATGGAAAGCTCAGTCTTACCTCAGGGCCTTTGCACATGCTGGGCCAGCTGCCTGGGATGCTCATCCCCCAGATCTTTCTTTCTTTCTTTTTCAAGATTTATTTATTTTAGAGAGATCATGACCTGAGCTGAAACCCTCCAAGAGTCGGTTGCTTAACAGACTGAGCCATCCAGCGCCCCCGCCCCCCCGCCCCAGATCTTTCCATGGCTCACTCTAGTCCTTCATGCAGGTCTCTGTTCAGATGCCACCACTTCAAAGAGGCTGTCTCTGACTCTCCTAGCTAAAACAGTATGCAAGCATCACCATCCACCCCTTACTTCTTCTTAGTGCTCCTCACTACCTGACATGCAACCATCCATCCATCCATCTACTTTTCCTTCCTCCCTCCTCCCTTCCTTCTTCCTTCTCTCTCTCATTTCTTATCTCTCATGTAACTCCCCCCACCGGAATGTGGGCTCTGTGAGGACAGCTCCTTGTCTTGTTCACCGCTGTGGCCCCAGGGTCTGGAACAGTGGCTCACACACAGTAGAATTCACTAAGTTTACATTTGACTGGAAAAATAAATTAATAAAATTTCCTCTTAAAACGCATTTAAGTTGAAAAGCAAATCACTTTATTTTTTTTAAAAGATTTTATTCACTTATATGCCAGAGAGCACGCGCGCACACGCAGGGGGAATAGCAGGCAGAGAGAGAAGCAGGCTCCCCGCGGAGCAGGGAGCCCAACACGGGACTTGATCCCAGGACGCTGGGATTATGACCCGAGCCGAAGGCAGACGCTTAACTGAGCCACCCAGGTGTCCTGAAAAGCAAATCACTTTAAAGAAAAGTATTCAGTAAGTAGTCTGTGTAGTGCCATTTGGCAAATGACAGGAAGGTACTCTGTGATGGACACACATATGAGAAGGCTACACATAATGCTGGGGTTTCGGAAGTGCTTTCCGGAAGTGATTCTGAGATTATCTGGAAGAGAGGAGCTTCCCACCACCCGCCCTGCAGATCATGGAACAGATCATGTGTCTTTTCTGGTTAGTGCTAAAGACTGCTGAGCACCTAGTAGGTACTGCACATTTTTAGATTTCTCTGATGCCCCCCCCACCCATTATGAATGGCTACCTGGTTCTTGCCTTCCCCATCCTCTTCACCCAGAGCCAGGTGCTCCTGGAGGCTGCTGGGACTGAACCACTGGTGAGCACCAACGGGCCCAGCTTGGAACTAGTGATTGATATATGTCATCTCTAAATAGTTAATAGTATCATCCCTGATACACAGATGAGCCATTACCCAAGCCCCACACCTAATTGTGCCAGTTCTATATGTTTGCCACATGAACCATTTCTTCCCTCCATGATGCCTTCCTCCATGTTCAATAACACCCCCCTCCGACTTATTCCATTCACGATGCTTGGCTACTCAATATTCTTGGCATTGATTTCCAAAGCCATGACTCTTTACAGTGATTAAGCTGAGAGCCTCAAGAATCCAGAGAAGAGGAGTGTCTCAGAGGGAAAGCTTTCAAGAGCTGAGCCACAAACAGAAGGCCATGATTTAGCCACAGGCGTGTTCTGTTGAGCTTAAAAGCTATTTTTCACTTAAGAACCAATTGCCACTATTAAAAAATCGGGAAATTTTGCACCAAGGTCTGAATTTCTGGATTTTCTTGAAAACACAGATGGTCAGGCCACGGATGAGCCCATACTCCTACATGGCAGGCACCAGCTGGAATTGGTGAGCTTCCCCTTTTAGAGAGGGCCTGTTTGCCTGTGTCCACAGACCTCACTCCTCCTTGCCGTCTTAGCACAGGGTTCCCATCACTTCCATTCCCTGTCTGACCGCTGAGTTTATGATCCTGACCCATCTAAGACTAGTCTAAGCATTCTCTAGGCTGATAGGAGGGGAACTGAGAGAGGCCTGGGGCTCTTTGCAGACAGATTTGGATCTGAAGGCACCATAAGGACAAATAAAAGGAGTGGTGTGCTGGGAAGTGTTGAACCACTGTTCTCCAGGAGAACAAGTGTGTGTGTGTGTGTGTGTGTGTGTGCACGCGCGCGCGCGTGTGTATAGATTTTATGTGTTTATTACACAAAATGTACAAATTTATAAATGATAACATACTGTTGTAAATATTCTTTATAAATTCTATATAAGCCAATTCATTCTCACAGATGGATTTTGTTGGTTTTTTGTTGTTGTTGTTGTTGTTTTTTGCCAAATTCTTGTATCCAAAACCAACTATCACTGCAATTTCGTCACGACTTGACAAAATCAGACTAGGAATAAATGCTGGACAGCAATACGACTCGGCAAAAGATCCCATCCAGTCTCTGCAGAGCGAGTGAAGTTTCGACATGAACGTGGGTGGAAATTTTTTGTTGACATTAATGAGTCAGACGAAAGTAAAACAAGGAAGATGTAGGTCAGAATGCCTTCATCGATGATGGGGGCAACTTGTTTGCTGCATTGGGTAATAGCGTTCAAAAGTGAAAGATTATTCCCTCAAGTTTTAGTGCCACTCGCCATGTCTCAGCTACAGACACCACAGACACACTCACAAGGTTAATTTGCATTATTAACATTTGATCCACCACATTCTTAAGGCTGGAACATCAAGGAAACAATAAGTCCAGCCCTGCCTTGAGGCGCTCCCCCATCCCTGTGCTGCCAAGTCACCCCCCATGGGCATGATGCCTTGTACGCAGAATCAGGATCTCCCGTGTCTCTCATAAGACACACTATAGGCAAGTAGCCTCAAGAGCACCCATGATAGTGAAATGTAGCAAAATAAGGAAGTGATGAGGTTTTAGTATTTATTACCTTTGCTTTTAATATAATTTATTGAAATATTCAATAATTTAATATCTTTAAAAGGCTGTGTTTAACAACCAGTTGGCAAAAGTCCCGAAAACTTAACAATGGGCTCTCACAAGGTAGTAGGAGGGACCTCCCGCACACCACTGGGTACAAGGGAAGCATCTAGAACGGGGGGAGAGAAGATGAGAGGCCAGAGTCCTGTGGGCATGCAGCAGGCACAGATGACGAAGTGTTGTCCCACACCAGCTCCCTGGGTCTGCTTTAGCCCTTCATTTTCCTCAGCATCCAGCAACTCACTCTTGCCAGGCCCTTCCTCTGGTGACTTCTGGCCTGAGCTCCTTGCTCAGTCTCCATCTGACTCACCCGTCGGGGGCTGACCCTTAACAATGTCCCAAAGATGGGGACCTGGGTAACTGAGGGTGAGCAGAAACCGCCCCCTCAGGCCCTGACTAGCTGAATGGGACCAGCTGAAGACCCTCCTGCAGGAAGACAGGGGTTAAGCACACCCCCAGGTGCCTAATCATTCCCATTCTGCAGGTGTGGGAACTGAGGCTAGGGACAGCTGTTAGTCACAGGTTGTTGACAAGGTCAACAGCGGCCAGGAGACAGGCAACACCAACAGCTGGGCTTGTCGGCCTCCAAACCCACCTCCGTTCTGCAAAGCTCTCCTGCACCACCCTGGAAACAGCGCCTGGAGCTGGCTTCATGCACCGTGGCAGCTCTTGGATTTTATTCCCCACGATTCTGGAATTCTGTTTACTGTTCCCCTAATTAAAACTGGCATTCCCTAAAGAGATGGCCAGCTACCTGAGAGCAGGGCCCATGCTGAATACGCACTGTATTAGCAGCACTTAGAATTCTAGCTCATTGATATCGGAAGTGATCTTAAGAACTCCTTGGTCCAGGTCGCCCATTGTACATATGGGGAAAACTGAGGCCTATGGCCATACCGCCACGACACCAGAGGAGCAGGCCTGGAACTCAAGCATCTTCTCCACCAGTCTGAGTTGCTGGTGAATGACAAAAGCAGGCTTCCCCTCACCAGAAAGTCCCAGCCAGATGGGAAAAGAGAGCAGAGAATATAGTATCCTCATCTGGGTTTGGGAGTGATGCCAGAGAAGACTTCCTTCCAGGGCTGGTACCCGAGATGTTCTCTGAGAAAGCAACAGGCTCCATGAGATGTTGCCATTGTAAGTGCTGCAGGGACGTGCAGAGACAACGGGGAAACTGAGGCGAGAAGGCAGGTCCTCAGGGCACCTCAGAGCCTGAGATTCAAAATGAAGACTTCTGGGTTCTCAAACTTTCTGCTCTTTCACCCGGGCCCGAAAGACCTCTCCTGGAGCAGGGATGACTTACAGGACCTCCGAGACCTTGTGCTGCAGGGGCCAGGCAAGCAGGAAGCTGGAGACTGTCTGCTAAAGCCATGGTTCCAGCATCTTCCAGGCAGATGGACTCCTCAGGAGGTGGCAGAGACCTCGATGCGGGTGTACGGGACGCTGGTGGAGCTCTGCCTGTGGCCAAAACTCAGGGCGAACCTGTCAAGCAGAGAGTGAGCGGGGGAGGCGGGTCTCTGTGGCCTCTGATGTCAGGGACTCATATCTGAACTATAGGGACTGAAGTGATGACTGCCAGACCCTGGCAAAGCCCCCTAACTTTCTGTCTCCTCCTCAAGTCATGGCAGACTCAGCTTCCTTGCCCCACAGCCTGGCCCAGGCCCCACCATGCGACCCCAAGTCCCCAGGTCCAGCTTGACACTCCCCTTGGCTGCAATTACATCCTGCTTTACCCCAAAGCTGGCTTCTAACTGCCTTTCTGCCTCCTTAGCGCCTCTCCCAGAGGAGGGGTTCTGGAATATTCTCCCAAGAAAGCCAGGATGGCAGAGATTCCAGGTGGCTCCTAGTATCTGTATCCCCCCCTTAAGCCTAGTTACAGTACCCTTGATTTTTAGCTGGGCACATGGCTCCCCAGGTGAAAGCCCGTTTCTTAGCCTCCCCCGCCCCCCATGTAGGTATAGCCAGGTTCTGTCCAAAGGATGCGGGTGGGAATGACTTGTGCATCTTTCAGGCTGTGTCTACCCTCTCTCCCTCCCCTCTCGCAGGCCCCTGGTGGCTCACCCGCATAGGCCATGCGGGAAAAATAATTATCGAAGAGACGGCAGAGCAACTGGAGAGAAGGAGCGTGGGACCCTGGATGACCTCTCGAAGCTCAGCTGCCACCCCAGCCCTGGTGCCCTACATCCGGACTATTCTGAGCAGCCAGATCTATTTCCTAACCAACAGGGTTGGGCCACTGAGGGGCCTGCAGAGGGGACAGCCAACACACTGGGGGTGCTCCACTGGCAGAGCCACCCTCTGGGGTCGAGTGGAGCAGGTTGAAGGCTTTTACACTGGACCAGTTCTGCGTCCCTTCAGGGGCTGTGTTGGGCTGGGACTTGGCAGGCAGCTGCAGGAGGCGAGTTCCGACTCCCTCGTAGATGATTTATTTTTTTTTTTTAGTCCTTTAGGGCCTCCCAGGAATAGAACGGACGGTCAGGTGCTGATGATTCCCTTTACTACAAGAAGTAACCAGGGGCATTTGCCAAGGATATGTAGGATGGTAGTGTTTTTAGGGCCTTTCTGCTGCTCCTATTCCTCTCTTCTCTTATTTGAAAGGCGCAAGTCCCCATGATGCTAAGATTCTCCACTCCTCTCTATGATCTAAAGACCTCACCTGATCGAGCTCCTACCAGCTTGGCTGAGCTGATCGTCTACCCCTCCTGCCACCCTCCCTCCCTCTATTCCAGCCACACTGGCTTCCTTGTGCTTCCTTGCATATGCCGGATACACTCCCAACCTCAGGGCTTTTGCACCGGTTGTTCTCTTTACCTGGAATGCTCCTCTCCCTCGTCTTTACACGGCTGTCTCCTTCTCACGAACTTAAATTGCACCTCCTTAGAGAGGCCTCCTCTCTCTAACCACCCACAACTCCCTGCCCCTCGGTCCCCCGCTCTGCCAGTCAGGCCTTCTCAACACACTTCCTTCTGTTTCCTTTTCCTCCGATACGTATCACTAGCCAAAATGCTCTTGTTGCTGCATTTGTTGGCTTGTTTATTTTCTGTCCCCCTTCTCCTCCAGAATGGAAGCTCCGTGAGGACAAGGACCTTGCCCGTCTCACTCGGCCACGTTTCCTAAGGTCCAGACATGGCCTGGCATGTAGTAGGGACTTAATAAACACCTGCTGAATGAGTAGATTAAGCCCACAGTTCTGTGTGTGACTTTAAAAGGCCAGAGTTATACCATTTTCTCTAAGCTTCCATGACTCTAAGATTCTGCTGCTCTGACCTCATGTGATTCCATAACTGCATGGTTTTAAAATTCCCATGAGCTGGGCCTTAAAGTTAAATGAAACTCTGCTGTAGGAAGACACAAACAACTCCAGGAAAACAGCTCCTGTACAAAGACAAGAACAAAACCGATGGTGTCCAGGCACTAAGGGAATCAGGACAAGGAGAAAAACACTCTCTTGCAAAGAGAAAGTACGCAGGTAAATCCTGAACTCATTTGCTCAGGATTTGACGTGAGTCCTTCCTGAGGCCCAGCCTAGCCCTGTGTCCTCTTACCGTCTCTTCTGGAACTGCTGGTCTATCTCTGCCAAAGACTGGCCTTTTGTTTCAGGGACAAATGCATAGATGAAGCCCAGGCCGAGGACAGCCGTCAGCCCGTAGAGCAGGAAGGTCCAGGACAAGCCGATGGTGCCTGGGAACAGGAAGGCGGGAGCGTGGGCAGGGGCGCTGCAAATCAGTTCACTCAAAAGCACATTCTCCAGATGTTTGATGTGCAGAATTAAAACAACAAGCTGTCAGATAAGTGCCTTAAAGTGGGAGCTGGACTGGTTATCCCAGAGGCAGGCAAAGGGCCGGGGCCCGGACCCGCAAACACAGACACGGGCATCAGGTCGGTATGGGAAACCCCGCTCACCCACATCTAAAACACTCCCCAGAGGAGTGAGGTCATAATCTGAAAACATGAATGGAGAGGAAATGGCATTCACTTCCGCAGCAAAGTAGTTGCAGGACACAGCCTTGGCCAAGCCCAGCCCCCAAACAAAAAACATCCTCTGAAATTCTACAAACTGGTTATTGGGTGAATGAATTGAGCATCCAGGGAATGGAGTTTCAGCCCATGCAGCCTGTGTCTGACTTCCAGACCACTCCCCAGCCATTCTCACCTCTAGAGATCATGACCTCTGAGCATCCTCCCCTGACCAGCTGGGCCTCCACTTAATCCTCACACAAGGGGGGGGGGGGGGGGTGGGAGGGGTGGGGTGGGGGTGGGGCTGGAGACAGGCACAGTGCACATGTTCTTCTACCAGCCTTTCCCAGGGGCTGTGCCTTTGAGGAGGAAACACTTGGCTGCAGAAAATAGGAAAATAACTGAGCCCTAAGAACTGTGCCTTGGGGCTCACAAGGAAGGAGCCCCTCCCACCTTGGCTCCTTGGACCAGGAGCATCTCAGCAACTCAGAGACCCTTTCCGGTGTTCTGGGCCCAGATAATTCCCACTGCACCCCACCATGGCTCAAATGGGGTTCGAATGCCAGGTAGGAAGAGAGAGTGTCACCAAACTAGACATGAGAAAACCTTCCTGCCGGCAGGTGGGCACGAGCCTATTGGAGCCGGTTTAGAATAAAAAAGGTGGCCACTCAGGTACCGACTGGTCTCAGATACATTCTCACTAATGTGGGTGTAGACCTGCTATCAGGCCTGGAGAATTTAACATTCTGCACAGAGTTTTATTTACAGAATAGTTCTTCGGCTACAAGAAGGAAATTTTCAAAAACTCCCCTGCTTTAATGCGAGGGCCTTCGGGCTGCAATGAAGAAAATGGCCCCACACTCAGGCCTCCAGACTCCCCCATCCCCCCACCGGTAGTTTGTCCGCTCCCCTACCACACCAATCAGAGCCAGCTTCCAGATGGAGGCTCTTCCCCTCCTTCAGCCTCACCTCCTGGGCCCACTCATTGATGGAGCCTGGAATTACCAAGGGTAAAAGCCTCGAAGGTCATGTCTTCTCTTGTCTTTGTCTGCTGGCCTCTCCGCTCCCCTTTGCTGATACTAGCACCCCACTTTTCCTTCAAGGAACCATCCCCCCCACCTCTGTACACATGGTTGGGTGAAGCTGTCCCCCACCCGCCCTGACTTCAGGGGCTGGTATATGTCCCAGGCCTGGGCATCAGAATCTTACAGCCTTCCAGCCGGGGATGGGCAGGCAATCTTGCTGAGCCAACAAGAGCTCACCCCAGGCAGCTGTTCCTGGATCTAGAAGGAACTGGACCATGGCATTAGGTCAGAGAACTCACCGATGAGGTGGAGGAAGGAGAGGCTGACAAGGAGGTTGCTAGCCCAGTTGAAGCTGTTGCAGAAGGCGAAGGCTCTGCCTCGGATCGCCACGGGATAGATCTCGCTGAGGACAAGCCAGGTCACTAGGACAGAAAGCAGGGAGACGTCCCGGGCTGGGGCGGGGACTGGGGCCTGGCACCCATGGTCCAGCGGACAGCCCCCCAACGACGTGACTCAAGCAGAATCTCAGGCCCCTGACACCCAGTCCTCCCACTGCCTCCCCCACACTGCTGCAAGAACCCTTTCTCTTTAAGGTTTTATTTATTTATTTGACAGAGAGAGAGAGCACAAGCAGGGGGAGCGGCAGGCAGAGGCAGAGGGAGAAGCAGGCTCCCCGCCGAGCAGGGAGCCCAATGTGGGGCTCGAACCTGAGTCGAAGGCAGGCGCCTAACCGACTGAGCCACCCAGGTGCCCCAAGAACCCCTTTCGAGTAAACCCTTTGAGTGATCTATCCAGGGGCAAATTCAGGTTTTATGAGGCCAGAAGCTTAAATAATTTGGGGCCCTCTGTAAGAAAAAAACTACAAACAGAAAATTAGGCCCTCGGAAGGAGTGCCCGCAAGTAGGCAAGGAGCCCTAAAAGCGTAAGCTTCATTGGCTTTGCGGTCAGGCCCCCTCTAGTGTCCCTCTGAGACCCTGACTGGCAGGGTCCCCACCCCTTCCGCTGGGTGGGGTAGAGGCTGCTGAGTTTCCTGCCAGAGACCTCCCACCTACCTGGTCCAAATCCAAAGGAGAAGGCGCTCACAAAGACCATCATGCAGACCAGCGCGGTCCAGTGCTGCAGGGCGTGCTCGGGGGCAGAAGGGGGCGCAGGGGCGGCGGTGCCTAAGGCCGGCAGGGGAGGAGCTGTGCGGTTCCCAGCTTTGGGATGGGGCTTGATTTTCATAGAGGTTGGGGGGACTGGCTTCCCTTGGTTCTCACTGGTCACTGGCAGTGGAGGTGGACTTACGACGGCCCCTGGCAGGCTCGAGTCTCCAGGGAGGCCTGCCGGCCTGCTGGCGTTGGGCACGGCCAGGCAACTTGGGCTGGAGTCCATGGGCGCGGCGAAGCTGACGAGCCCGATGCCGCTGACCGACAGGGCCATGAGGGCACAGCCAGCCAGTAACAGGGCCCTGCGGCCTGCTCGGTCCACCAGCCCCAGGGCCGTCAGGGTGGACACCACCTTCACGGCGCCGAGTCCCACAGAGGCCAGCACAGCTGAGGAGCCCCCACGGAAGCCGACTGAGTGGAATATGGTAGAAGCATAGCACAGCACGTTGGGCTGCCCCGTTAGTTGCTGGAAAATCACCAGCCCTAGCCCCACCATGGTCCGGCCTCGCATGTTATCCCGGGCCCTAAAGAGGTCCAGCAGGGAGTATCTTGGCCTCCCCAGCTTGGTGGCCTCACCTCCCTGGAGAGGAATGAGGTCCCTGCGGGCTGCCGCCTCAGTGGTCCCAGCAGGGAGACAGAAGAGGCTGAGGGACTGCAGAAGAGCAGGTACCGCGGCCCAGCCGAACATATGCCGCCATCCCCCGGGGGCACCAGCTAATGCGTAGTTGAGTGCATAGGAGAGCAGGATGCCCAGGGTGATGCCGGCCTCATAGAGGGACACCAGCACTCCCCGCTGCCGGGGCCCCACCAGCTCTGACACATAAATACAGCAGGCCATGGAGGAGAGGGAGATGGCAAAGCCAGCCACCAAGCGGCCCAGGACAAGCCAGGCCAGGGAGCCAGCCAGGCTAAGGCTCAGGCTGCCTGCCAGAAGCACCACATTGCTGCCGAGGATGGCTTGTTTTCTGCCATACTGGTCGATGAGGACGCCCCCCACCAGGGAGGCAAGGAGAGCCCCCAGGAGCAGGCTGCCCACCAGGAGCTCCTGCTCCAAGCAGGAAAGCCCGAAGTCAAGCTGCAGGGGCAGCAGGGCACCTGATACGACTGCCAGTTCATAGCCGAAGGTCAGGCCACCCAGCAAAGACACAGAGGCACACAGGGGCAGGAGCAGTTGGGGACGGCCTGGAAAACAAAAGTGACAAGAGCAGAGTTCAGGATGGTTCCTCGCCAGAGCATCCATCCATGAACTTCCCCTCCGTCTGTCAACCCCTCATCTATCCATCCAGCTACTCCATCTATTCACCTGTCCATTCATCCACCATCCTCTCACTTATTGATCTATCCATCTTTCATCCCTCCATCCATCCACTTCATTCATTCACCCACCCACTCCATCCATTCATTCACTCACCCATCTACTCATGCATGCTTTCATGCATCGATCCATTCATCCACCATCCAGCCATCCACTTCATTCTTCTTCCATCTCTCCTTCATCCCTCCCTCCATCCATCCATCCACTCCATCCACTGGTGCAGCCATCCATCTAACCCATGCATGCATTCATGCATCCAACCATCATTTGTCATCCATCTACCCATCCATTTACTCCATCTATTCACCCATCTATTTATTAATCAATCTATCCATCCATCCCTCCATCATCCCCTCCTCCGTCCAACCATTTGCTCCATCTACCACATATTCATCCATCCATTTGTCCATTATATACTCTTTAATTCACCATCCGTTTATTGGTGCATCTACCCACAAATACATCCATTCATCCACCAGTCTCTGATTCCATCCCTTACGTACCCATTCACACACTTACCCAACCATCCATGCATCCACCCCTCCAATCATTCAAAAACTTATTTATTCGGCATCTACAACATGCCAAACAGCGTTCTTGGAGCTGGCAATACAGTGGTGTTGTCAAGGACCTGATATTCTAGTAGAAAAAGGCAGACAATAAATAAATATATATATATAACTTCAGGTGGTGAAAGATGTCATTTAAAAAAGCCAGGAAAGTGGATTGAAAATAATGGAGGAGTTCTGTGTTAAATAGGGTAGTCGGTTAAGGCCTCTCAAAGAGGGAAGATTTGAGCAGAGATCTGAATTAAGCGAGGGTGAAAGCCATGTAAAATCTGGGAGAAGAACATTCTAGATGGAGGGAAGAGCAAAAACAGAGGCCCTGAGGCAAGACAGTTTTTGGTATGTTTGAACAACAACCATTAATATTAATAGCTAGTGCTTATATGACACTTATTAAGTGCCAGGCCCGGTTTTAAGAACTTTACACACACTTACTCATTTAATTCTTTTTTTTTTAAGATTTTATTTATCTGTCAGAGAGAGAGAGCGCGCAAGTAGGGGGAGTGGCAGGCAGAGGGAGAAGCAGGAGCGGGGAGCCTGATGCGGGACTTGATCCCAGGACCCTGGGATCATGACCTGAGCCAAAGGCAGACGCTTAACGACTGAGCCACCCAGGAGTCCCTACTCATTTCATTCTTACAACAACCCTATAACATAGTATTTTTAGCATCATCCTCCAAGACTCAGAGAAGTTAAGAAACTTGCTCATGGTCACACAGCAAGTGGGTGACTGATGCAGCAAGAGCGTTCAGGCTGTTAATCATTGTGTTTTCAGCAAGGAGGCCAGGATGGCTGGAGCCACCTCCACCTGAGGAGATGATGAGGCCGAAGTAGGCAGGGGCCAGGTCACATGGAACTCTTTAGGTCATGAAGAGACTAATGAATTTCATTCTCAGGGGATGGAGGCAAGACTTGGAAGGCTTGAGCTGGGCAGAGTAGTCACCAGCACATGTGGCTCCTGAGCACTTAAAATGGGGCTAATGTGATTAAGGGACTGAATGTTAAAATTGTATTTTAATTTTAATTAATTAAAATGTAAAACTAGCCACATGGGGCTAACAGCCCCCATACTGGCAGCACAGTTACAGGTTACTCTTAATTCTTAATTCACATACTTACACTTAGATATTTCTAGAAGCATCTAGATTAATCTAATAGTACCTATCTCACCCACACCCACCCTGGACCTGACAAGAACATTCATAATACTACAGTCAGACTCACTGAGTGTATCTCAACCAGGCACTGCTTTGAGCACTTTAAGTGCAATAACACATTTAATTTAATATAAGCTCATGTGGTGGGCTTTTGAATTATTTATGAATGAACAAACTGACCATCAGAGGTGAAGTGACTTGTCTAAGGTCAAAAGTAGTAAGTAGCTGAGCCTAGATTCAAAGCTGGGCCGTCTGGCGCCACAATCCGCACCCTTAACCACCCCATTACCAAACCTTGGCATATTATGATTTTGCACTGTTCTCTCCTACCTCTACCTCTCCCCATCTCTGTTAGGCGATTTTTGTGCAGAGGGAAGAGTTTCATTGGTGGAAGGCTCGGCACCCATTTCTGCTCACCCTTATCCCTCCCACCCTGCCCCCTGGGAAATCACCCCCTCCGGTTCCCTGGCTGGCCCTGTGCTTCTTGTTCATGACCATCAACGAGCACCCTAGGAAGATGATGGTACCCGGGTCCTATCCTGTCTTCACCTCCCTTTGCCCCATCTCCCTCAGTTCCTGGAGCTTGCTGCCAGAAAGGAAGTTTCCTCCAGGCCATGTGAGGCAATCAAGTGAAAACAGAATTTGTTTGCCATTTCCTCAGTTCCTCTGGAGCTGAAAGGGAACCCAGCCAAGGGGCTCAGAGGCCAAGTTGACTGTCCACAGGTCCCGCTGGAAAATGCATCGGGGCAGATTCGGGTCATAGTGGTTAAGAGCAGAAGAGCAAAAATAATGGTGAAATAAAATAGTAATAATAACAGGTGTCATTTATGGAGCAGCTCCCCTATGTAAAGACTTTAGTCTCTCAACTCATCTTCATAATAACCCCTAGTCGGTATAGCTGCAATTATCCCCATTTTAGAGATTAAGTTTCAGAGTGTTCTCACAGCTGGGAAGCAACCAGATCAGGACTCACTGATCCATCTGACTCCCAAACCCATATACTTAGGAGCTTTGTGGAACGGACTTCAAGCAAGAAGGACAATCAAAGATAGGTGGGGTGTGAGAGAGAGAGGGGTGCGGGGCCAGGGCTGGAGGGGAGATACAGACACCTTAGCTCTCAGGAAAACCCAGGCACAAAGCAGAGTGAACCAACAGTGCCCCAGGGAAGGATGAAGGGCAGCCCCCAAGGAGTCAGGGTCATTAGAAACACGAGGGAAGCACATTCCCTTCCTTAAGCTTTCCTGGCTCCTGTGGCCTCTGCTCTGTAAGTCCTAACCCCTTCACATGCCATCCCAGGCCCTACCTGAGCCGGCGACCCTGGCCCAACTCCTCAGTCACTTCCCCTCCCCGACTCTGTCCTCACCTCCCCTCCTGCCTCCCCCAAGCCCTGCAAACACTTGTTCTCCGCACACACCCTCCATTTCCATGCCCCTCTGCCCTCCCCCCCTCCTCCTGCGCCGCCTGTGTCCCCACAGGCCCGCTCATCCTCCTCAGTCCCAGCTCATGGGCACCTCCCCGAAGGGCCTTGTGTTGTAGGTCTCTGTTCTTTGGCATCCCCCGCCCTCTGTTGGGGCGCTGCCCTTCCCTGTGTTGCCTCTCGGTCTCCTGGTTTGGATAAAAATGACCGCCGCCACCTCCACCTCCACTGCCTAGCTCCAGGGCCGTGTCCATGACCCAGATCTGACCAATCAGCAGGTTCCCAGGCCCTGGGCAGCAATGAAAGCCACGTGGCTGACCCTGGGCCAGCGTGTTGGCTCACTGAAGGCGCTAAGCTGGTAGTTTACCTGCCTGGAGCCGCTGGGGGCCATCATCCCCCTTGGGGGGGGGTCCCTGACAACACTGTCTGAGCCCCAGCTCCTGAATCCATGGACTTCCCAGTGACTAACGAATATCTTTTTTTCTTTTCTTTCTACTTGTTTTTCTTTTCTCTTCCCTCCCCTCTCCTCCCCTACCCACCCCTTCCCTCCTCTCCCCTCCTCTTCTCTTTTTTTTTGCTTAAGGTAATTCATGGGAGGCCCTGGCTAATTCCTGTACATCTTCCTCCACTTTCCAAGCCACACTTTTCACTTCCCACCAACTCTGCATTCCCCCTTCACTTGCTGACACCATCCCAAGTTTGTCGCTGTGTCTTCCTTATTAAACGGGGCAGGGCAGCACTGGGGACTTCCTGTCTGCACCTCCTGAGCCCCAGCCCTGTCCTGACACCCCAGAGGGGCTCAGTGAGGTTTCTGCCGAATGAACCCAGGACTGCGTTGGGGACGGACTAGGGAGGTGTCAGCAAGTGGCATTGCAGGGGCCGCGTCAGATACATTTGAACCTAGCAGAATGCTGCATGACAGCCCCAGGGGTCCTGTGAAAGCCTGAGTCATTCTGCTCAGAGCCCTCGGGGTTCCCACTTCAGTCTGAAAAGAGCCGAAGTCCTTACAGTGGCCTTCAAGGCTCTGCAGGATCTGCCTGCGCTCTCTCTCTCTCTCTCTCTCTCTCTGCTCTGCCATGCCAGCTTCCTTGCTGTTCTTCCTCATTCCTGTGTGACTCAACTCAAGGCCTTTTACCAGCTGTCACCTCTGCCAGAAGAGCCCTCCCCCTCCATTCCTTCCCTCTTCCCCTCTGGTCTTGGCTCAAACATCACCTTCTCCTGAGGCCTTCCCTGGCCCTCTTCTTAAAAGTGCAACCTCCCCCATCACACCCAGCACTTCTAATGCCCTTGTTTTCCTCCAAGGTACCTCTCACCATCGGAAAGAACTGTATGTTTTACATATTTATTGTTCTCTCCAACCAGAATGTTGACCCCAAAAGGACAGGAATTGTTTGTTTGTCCTTAGCTGTCTCCCTGATGCTGAGGACAATTCCTGGCGCTCAGTAAATACTTGTTGAATAAACAGAAGATTGAATGAAGGGACTTTGGGGGCTGAGGGAATCCAGACAGGAAGGGTCTTGGCTCTTGAGGCAGAGGTCTCCTTGGAGAAGTCTAGGGCCTGGAAGGGGCCAAACTCCACAGGAAGTAGAGTAAATCCTGGCCCCCAGAGTAGGGCCCAGCCTAGGTTTGGGAACTGCTCCCCCTTTCTATTAAGTATCTGTCTAGGGGCGCCTGGGGGGCTCAGTCAGTTAAACGTCCGACTCCCGGGTTTCGGCTCAAGTCATGATCTCAGGGTTGTGAGATCGAGCCCCACAACAGGCTCTGTGCTGAGTGCGAAGCCTGCTTAAGATTCTCTCTCCCTCTCCCTCCATCCCTCGGCCTTCCCCGCACACCAGGCACACACACTCTCCCCCTTCTTCCCTCCCTCTCTAAATGAAACAAAACAAAATGATAGGTTATATGTGAAGCTGTCTCACACTGGAGAAAATCCCTTAGTCCTCTAAGCCCCTCACTGTGGAGAACAGAGCTTCCCAGGGAGAGAATTGGGGAGCAGGGGAAGGGGGAAAAAGTCAGGTTTCGGGTGGATGTATCACCAGCTGCAAGTCCCAGGGAGCCTCTTGTTAGTGACACCAGAACAGCATCTCCACCAGAGGTCACAATGCGTTGGGACCCTCCCCTGCCAGGGAGCTGCCGCAGCTCTCCCTCAAGTTCCAGGGAGAAGCCTGAGCGACACTGAACTATGCAACTATCCTCACCCAGAGGGCTGGTTTCCCAACGCCCCAACACGGCTAATATGGAGCACTCACCACAGCCAGGCGTACCTCCTCTCCTGGAAGCCCTAGCTGCTCCAGCTGACTCAATCCCTACAGCAAACCTATGACCCAGGCATGGCTGTCATTCCCATTTTACAGATGACGTAACTGAGGCACAGACAGGTGAAGACCTTGCCCAAGGTGAGAGTTGGCACGTGACAGAGCAGAGACTGGACTGACTCCAGAGTCCCAACACTGGGTGTGGTAAAAAAGAAAAGCTCACATGAAGGGACCATTTACCACGTGCAGGTGGTGAGCTGAGCCCTTTTCGTTCATTTTCTCACGGCCGCCTTGTGATAAGCGCCTTTGATGGGGGTCATTTCATAGATGAGGAAGCGGAGGGTCGGAGAAGTAGACTAGACGATGCACCTGGAAGTGGGAGGATGGTGGCTGGAATCCAGGTCTATACCCAGGGCCCAAGCCCGGGAAAGCAGCCTGGGATGGTGGGGAGGACAGAGCCCCCCTTCCCCTGCTTCCACCCAGCCCCACATCTGTCCTCCTGAGATGCTCGGTCAAGAGCTGTTGAATTAACTTAGGAGGCAGCAAAGGGATCGGAAAGGCAGGTGCAAGGGACCAGGGTCAAGGTGAGTGTCCTTGGGAGGACCTCTCTGGGTCTGTGTTTCCCTCAGGCTCCGGGGCAGTGTGCCTTGGGGGTTGAGAGCATGGACTCTGGAGTCAGACCTGGAGTTGGCGACCAGTCGTGCCATAACTGTGCATGAGAGGGAGGGTGGTACAGTCGTTGGGAATGCAGGCTGAAGCCAGAGTGCTGGGGTTCTAGCCCAGCTCTTCTACTCCATAGCTGTGTGTCCTTAGGCAGCTCATTAACCTCTCTGAGCTTCCCCATCTACAAATGCGGATAATAGTAATATCCCTACCTTATAGCCACTGTTAGCTATTATGATTCTCCACAGCATAATCCAGAGGGAGTTTTAAAACACAATTCAGGTCACGTCCCACCCCAGCTTAAACCTCTTCTCCAGCTTTATTTGGAATAAAACCTAAACTTCTCGCCATGGCCTACAAAGTTCTACACAGTCTAGCCCCTGCCTAACTCTCTGACCTCCCTCCCCATCTTTTCCCCTTGCCCACTGTGCTCTAGCCACACTGGCCTGACACCAACCCACTGGTGCCTCATGGCCTTTGCACATGGTATCCCTGCCCGCCTGCTTGTAGCTCTTTTTCCAGGTCTTAGCACACCCACTCCTTCTGAGTGATATCTCGGCTGCAGTGCCTCCTACCCTGGGAGGCCTTCAGTACCTACCTATCTAAAGAAGCCACTTCCCTCAGCAGTTCACACCACCTCATTTTTTTGTGTGTTCCATAGCATCTTATCGTCCTCGGAGATTATTTTATTCATTTACTCCGTTCCAGCTTCTCTACTGGAATGTCAGCTCCATGGAAGAGAGGATTGTTGTCTGCTTTGCTCACGGCTGAGTCCCCAGCCCCTGCCACACAGTAGAGGGATGAATGACTGAATGACTGAGTGAGGCTCTGGATCCAGAGAGAGAAATGGAAATCCCAGTTCCCTGTAGCAACAAAGCAATTCCCTATTCTCCTCCCACCCCCACCTCTCCCAGTTCTGGATTCTAATCTCCAGCCTCCTCTCATGGAATACCTCCAAAGCGAAGGTTTTGTCTCTGTTGTTCATGGCAGCCTCCTGAGGCCTCCTGAACAGAAGTGTTCAGCAAAGGGATTCACCAAGTTGCTCCTTTCGGAGCCTCCATTTCTTTATCTGCCGACTAGGAGGAGTTTCCCCTGCGCGGGGAGGTGTAAGGCTTGAAGCGGTCAGGACAGGGCCTGCCCGGAGTTCGCGCTATCAAGTAAAAAGCACTAGCGGCTCACTTTTTTCTGGGCAGAAAGAAGCAGGGAAGGAAGTGCGCTCGCGTCCCCTCCCAGCTCCCAGCAGAGCCTGCTGTCCCCACCCGACTGGGTCGTATGGGGGCGCGGGGCGCGCGCGGCTGGGGTCTCAGGGGCGCCCCCGCGGGCAGCGCCCGATCTCCACTCACCCATGGCGAGCACGACTCCCGTGGAGGCTGGGGGCGCTCGGGCCGGCGCGCATCCCCCGCCGGAGCCCCAGCCTCGGCCGCCCGACAAACTTTCCGGCCCGCCTCCCGCCTCCGTCCCTCCTCCCAGCCCGCCTGCCCGCAGCGCCGGCAGCCACGTCGTCCAGCCCCGGCCCCCCTGTGCCTGGAGGCGGGACCGAGGGGCTCCAGGGACCGCCCGGGGCCTGGATGCCGGTCCCCACCCACTCTCCTCCTGTTGGCCCCCACCCCCCGCCCACTGTCATCCCTGTTGTGGGGGACCCCCACACGCTGCCCTCTCCTGTGCTCCCCACGGGAAGGAGCACCCTCAATCACTGCAGTCCACACTACTAGACTGGCCTCTCCAGCCTGTGTGTACACACACACACACACACACACACACACACACACACACACACACACACTCATGCATCTACACTGACCTACCGGGACGCTCATATACCCGGTTCAGCCACCCAGACCCTCGCCCCTGGATTACTGTCCATTCATTGGACAACCTGGGTTGGGACACCTCCCAAGTACCCACGGGCACTGGGCTAGGCTTAGGTGATGGGCTGGAAGAACAAGACAGATTCTTTGTTGTTCTTGTGGAGTTTGCATCCTAGTGGGGGAAGCAGAGAAACATATGACTGAAGGAGCCAGAGACACACCGGCAGGGGTGAAGGCTGGGCAGAGAAGAAAACCAGGGTGCTGGGGTGTGCAGGCACAGGTGGTTGCTGCAGCTGTGTGTCTGGAAAGGCTGCTTGCTCTCCGGAGGGATAACTGAGCTCAGGCCTGAGGTTCCAGGCAAAGGGAAGAGCAAAGGCAAAGGCCATGTGGCACAGTGGTGAAAGGAGCTTACGGAGTGTAAGGAACAATGGAAGCAAAGCCACAGTGTCTGGAGCACAGGGTTTGGCAGGGAGACTGGAGGAAGGGGTTGGCAAGGCTTTGGGAGGCCAGGGTAGGGAATGTGGATCTTATTCCCACGGACACAAGAAATAATTGGAGAGTTCTAGTAGGTTATAGGGAGCAAGGGCAGAAATAGGGGGACCCAAGGGGAGGAGGCTGTGTGGAGGTGAGAGAGAGGTTGACGAAGGGGATAACAGTGGGGGTGGAGGAAAGTAGGTCCGATGGCAGATAGACTCAAGAAAGACTTACCCACTGGGAGAGGAGCGGCTTGGGGCAGAGCTCCGTTCTGGCTGTGTGACAGTTAAGTTCTCATTAGGCATCTGTGTGGACATAGGTGGGCAATTCCATATATGAGTTCTAGAAAGGAACCGGGCTGGGGACACCCCACTAATTCTCCTTCTTGGGCACAAATGCACGTATAAGCTCAGCACTCACATGGCCACAGGCTTGTCCAGCCTCTCACGGCATGTTCGCACGGACGCACTGGTTCAGGGGCATTGTCAGCCGTGCTCTCACCCAGCGGGGATCGTGTGCCACAGGCACACACAGCCCTCTCGGCAAAGAAGAAGCACTGACAAGAACTTCTGAGCCAGGCGACCCTTGTACAGTTCTGACAACAACACACCCAGATCCCCAGTTGGGCAGTTTGAAAACGGGGCTCCAAAATTCTTTGTTCCCTACTTTGAAATCTAAGTGGGCTTGTGACGGCTTCGACCCGTAGGGGGCACAGAGTTGGCACTGCGTGACTTCGGAAGCTGGGGCACTGGGACACTGGCACCGGAAGCACTGAGCCACTAAGAAGTCCAACTACCCGGATGCTGCCATGCTGTGAAGAGGCCCAAGGTACAGAGAGGCCACGTGTGGACACGCCAGTGGGTGGTCCTCGCCTTGAAGTCGTCCAGCACTGTTTCCAGAACACGCCTTCAGATGACTGCAGCTCCTAGCCGTCAAATCTTTCCAGCTGAGGCTCCGGACACGGGAGCAGAGACAAGGCTTCCCTTCTGTTTCCAGTCTGGATTCCTGACCCACAAATTCCAGGAGTATAGTAAACGGATGCTTTTCAGGTGCAAAGTTCTGGAGTGAATTGTTAGGCACCAATAATAATAGGAACGATAGACTAAACTATTAAGTGATAATTATACACTTTAAGTACTTTGCATGTATTATCTCACTGTTAACCCTCACAACTGCTTAATGAAATAGTAACTATGGCCATTTGCTCCCATTTCATGGATGAGGAAACTGAGACAAAGGGAAAGTTGCTTGCACAGTAAGTAAGATCTGTAGCGCTCAAAGGCACACACCAGTACGTAGCTGAGCAGGGAGTCAAGCCCACTTAGGAGGAAATCAGGCTCTTCTCCATCACACTCTATTGCCTTTCCAGGATGGAGAAGAGCCCAAGGAGGCCTCGTGGCCGTTGTCACATGACAATTCCTCCTTCATCTGTGAGTACCTAGAATTGTCACCTGGCTGTCAGTGAGCCCTCTTGCTCAACTATAGACCCCAACACTTAAAGCCAGAAATAGACAAGACCCCTTCACTCATGCTGTAACTGAAACCCATTGTCCTTATTTCTTATGGCACTTTCCTGCGTTGATGAAGATGTTTTGCAATGATCGGAACATTCCATTCGCCAGGTCAGAAAAGCCCGGATAGCCAAGGAATGCCTAGAAGACCACATCCCCTTCTCTGCCTGGGACCATGTGCTGAACACATACCGACCCCCACTCAGGATCACATGCTCCCTGCCAGGTGTCTTGCGGTAGCCCCCTGAACCTCTCCTTATAAAACCCTAGGTGTCTACCTTGTGGGAGGAAAGGTCAGTTGTTAAGGTTTGAGCCTACCACCTCCCCCGCTGCCTGCACCCCAAATAAATTTCTCCCTTTCTCTTTCCCAAACCCTCACCTCTTGAGTTATTGGCTTCTCTTGCGATGAGTTAATCTGCATTTGTTTGACAATAGTGTTGGCAGACGCAGGCAGGAGCTATGCTTCCCATCTGTCCAGCCCCTACAGGATCCTCGGGTTGGAACAGCGGACCGGGGCAATGCTCACCCCTTGGTCTCCTGAGTTAGTGGCTATGATAGATTGGTGACATAGGGGCCTAGTACAGCAAGGCCTGGACTGTTCCATTCCAGTGAGATAACCTATAGAATTCATATGATAGAAAGGGCACAAAGTCCCTAGATGTTCTTTGATCTCTGTGGCTCACATTAAAGTCATGAGGATGTGTGTAGGCTTGCTGCCGGGCTCTGTCTCTCCTAGAGAATGGAGAATCCCTCTTCATTTGTTGGCGCAAGTGAGAAAAGAAATGATCTAATGGGTCCTTTCAGTAAGCATCTTCAAAAATGGCTTCCCGTGAAGGTGGGCAGGGCCGACTAGCTCCATTTCTAATACAGCAAAAGTGATGGATGTCATCTCAGAGTTTAGGTTGTAAAAGATGGTGATTTCCATCTTGCTCACCCTCTTCTGATCTGTCACTCACCCTCTCTGATGAAGCCACCTGCCACATTGTGAGCTCCCCAATGGAGAGGTCCAAATGGCAAGAACTGAGGGTGGCCTCCAGGAACAGTCAGTGAGGAACTAAATCCTGCCACTACTTAAATGGTCATACAAACCAACAAAAAAGGGAAGTCTGTGATAATGCCAAAAAGGGACATCAGAACTCATCAAAGTTGGGTTTTCTCTCCTCTGAGAAGTCAGGGAGGGCCTCCCTGAGGAAGTGACATTTGAGCTGAGCACACAAAGATGCCTGGATGGGTTTAGGCAACAAAGGGAGGGCAGAGCACTTCTGTTATGGGAAACAGCAGGTGCAAAGGCCCTATCACAAGAGGGAGCCTGGTAAGAATGAGAGACTGTGAGAAGGCAAATGTGTTTGAAGATCAGAGAGCAAATGCGAGCTTGACAGGAGATGAGCCTAGAAGAGGGACAGAAGGGTCCCACGCAGGACCTCGTGGGTCTTTAATCCTAAGCACAATGGGGAGCCATTGAAAAGTTTTAAACTAGGTTTTCCTACAGCAGAAGCCAGAACCAGTCTGACCACAGCGAGCCTGGGACTTGTAAATATGTTTGCACAGTGGATTTTCCAAAGGAGGGGTTCAGACAGATTTGGTAACCATGGAGATGGCTATGTGGCCACTAACAATTATGATAATGAAGCCACAAACCTGGGAAGCTGGGCATTGTAAATAGAATTGGTTCTGGGTGAGCTCTGAGTGGTCTGGGCTGATGAAAGGTGCTGGAAACCACATTGTGTCCACACAAAGGGTCTGATTCCTGAAAAGGTGGCTTGCCCTGTGTGTGAATGGAATGCAGGGGCTGCAGAGCTGAGGGTTGGTGTCATAGCAACCCTTGGACGAAAGGGCCTTTCTTCAGTGTTTCAAACAGGGTCCCCGATGAGGGAAGGAAAACAAGCATACGAAGAGTGTCTGCCATCCCCCAGACACCCTCATGAGCAACATCTTAATATTTAGTCTTAATAAGCAATTATCACAGTAAAACTAATCATCCTTATTTTGAGGATGATGAATCTGAACCTTAAAGAAATGATGCTTGTTGCTGCATCACACAGTGCATCAGGTACTTGTGGATGCCTCCCCAGTGGCTATGCCTAGCTCCCTTCCTCCTTGCTTCTAGAGCAGGTCTCTGTCTGTACAGGTCAAAAATGCCAGATCCTCACTTTTCCAGCTTCCTCGGCAGCTAACGCAAAGACACGTGGGCCAGGAGGAGGCCTGGTGGGAGAGGGGGGACTTCCAGCAAGGGGTTTTTTCCCAAATAAAGAGAGGTGTATAGGATGTAGCCCCTCTCTTCTTTGGCCAGATGTTTTTGTGTCCCCATATCATGTGTGGAACTTTGGTGGCCGTCTTGTGACCATAAGATGACAAGCGTAGGGACCAAAGCTGAGGCTGGTGAAGGGCATGAATACAGACATGAAGGTAGAAAGATGGAAAGACCCTGGGTCCTTAAAATCATAAAGTGACTGAAGGACACCTGGGACCCCTTACCTCTTAAAATTTTGTTCTGTTGGATAATAAATGAACTTATTGTTTATCCTAAATAAGCCATTTAGTTGACAAATCTGCTACTTGCAGCTTAAAATATCAAAACTTTTGGCAGTCTACAATTGTCCTATTATAATTCCTTCCCTACTTCCTTT